TGTTATTTTAAACAATCCCCCATTAATACATTTTTTTCATGGGTTACAGAAATTAAACAAAATAGCTACTGGTATTCAACCTTCTGGAGATGGGCCTTTCCATACAAAATATGCTTGGACCTCAAAGCAATAGACAACGGTGTTGGGTGCCTCAAAACTTTCCTTTCATAGCATACACTATGCTGAAAAAATCTTCTAGAAACCAGGGTCAACTACATGCTACAATATTCTAATAGTATAAAACTTTTTAGAAACAAATAAAACATATCAAGCATCCCTGAGCACATAAATCATAAGGGGGTGCTTGGTGTGTTAACAAAGCTGGAAGTGCAGTGATTTACAAGGAAATACAATTCAGTATTGAGATTGTTTACAAGCTGTCACATTCCTAATTTATTTTTAGTTCAAATTTAAAATGACTCCTCTTCTACTCAATGACTGACAGAAACACGATCTTGTTTCTGAAGCCAATTCTTTCCTTCTTTTTTGGACATCATTCAGAGATCTAACAGACTTCTACAGTGTTTAAAAGCATTCATCCAAGACCACAACAAATGCTAATGATCATAAAAAGACTATATCCTGTTCATATCATTTTCATGGTTTGTCTAGCTCCAACATTATAACATATAATTTCACTGCATCTATGTAGAGTGATGTTATTTTTGTTGGCAAGAGAAAAACCTTATAGAAGGATAATTATCAAGCAGCAAACTGGAAAACTCAACAAAATAAATTAGAATTTAAAATGGGGTGAGTAGAATACATAATGAATTGCTTTTGAAAGGAGATAAAGAAAATACAAGTATAATGGTTTACCAAAGTCTTAGCATCAACCCAAAACATAAAGACTAGAATTCATTTAGATTTTTGATCACAATAGTTATCGAATTTAGTATGTGGTTAAAAAAATCAGCTAGGTGGCTCATGCATAGAGTCCTTGGCCTGGAGTCAGGAAGACATCTTCCTGAGTTTAAATATGGCCTCAGATACTTAATACTAGTGTGATCCTGGACAAGTCCCTTAATCCAGTTTGCCTCAGTTCCTCATCTATAAAATGAGCTGGAGAAGGAAATGGTAAACCACTCTAGTAATCTTTGCCAAGCAAACTCCAAATAGAGTCACACAGAGTCAGACACAACTGAAAAGAGTGAACAACAAAAATATCTTCCACGGTCGTGGTTGACCTCTCCTCCCATTGAGTCCTATTGTCTATTCCAATTCAAAGACCAACTGTCATGCTATTTACCCATTTATTTTGATTAGAAGTGATGAAAGCAATTGAAGGGTCTAGATTTAGAAATGTAAGGGAATTTTTTAGGTCATCTAGTCCCCACATTTTACAGGTGAGTAAACTGAGCCCCAGGTACTCATTTGCAGACACTCAGCCCATACTCTAACCAGAAGGCCTTATTATCTCCCTTATTTGGAGGAGAGGAGAGAAGAGGAGGGGAAGGAAAGGGAGGGGAAGGAAAAGGATGGGAAAGGAGGAGGGGAGGGGAGGAGAACATGAAATCTTACAGCTGATAGATACATTTAGACTCATGGTTTAAAGTGTTTCTGCTTCCTGTCCTAGCCTCAAATCCATATGTAAACACTTCAAACACAGCTGACTACTTATAATTGACCTTAAATTAAAATGGACCACTTAAATTAAAAGTGGGCAATTGTGGGTTCAATTAACCAAATGTATATGCTATTAGCTACAATCAGGCAATTAGTTAATTACAAACAATGCTGAAAATATGTGCAATTGGATGCACCAAATTGCTATCCACTTGTAAATAGGACATTAGCAAACTTCTTTCTTCTGAGAGCAGTTTCCAAGAAATGGTTACAACTAGAGATGTTTAAGATGTTCCTCTGAGTTGACATTAAAAAAGATTTTAAGTAATTAGGGCCTTTTGTTTTCCCAAAGATCTATATTAACTTAGGCAGAAGAAAACCTCATATGAATATAGCTTAAAATGTTTTGAAAGATTCAGATTTAGACCAGGACACACTTTACATTTTATATATGTTAACCCAACCACAAAATGGCTGTTAATTTTTATCACAGTATTATTTTAAAGGTGATTCATGAAAAAAATAATGTGAAAGCAGAATAGGTCTTTGCTTTGCCAATACCATCCACCTAACAATATGCCTATATTCATCATAAATGCATTGATATAACCCAGATACTATACATGAATTTGTGAAGGATTTGTGATATTTTGGGGTAAAGAAACTCCTTCCTTCCAGCAATGCATATTGCAACTTATCTGTGATTTAGTATATCCTACAGAATATCATTAGATACAAAAGTTAAATGACTTGACCAGACTCAAATAGCTTGTAAATCAGAGGTGGAATTCATACCCTGGTTACATACCTCTGTACTATCTACGTGACTTAGGGCACATCACTTAACTTTCTTGATCCTCAGTTTCTTACTTTGTAAAATGACAGATTTTGGCCTAGATGACCTCTAACATCCCTTTCAGATCTAGATCCATGATCTTATGAATCTTACCCAAATCTTCCTGACTCCAAGTCTAGTACCTTATCGTGCTATGTTAAGATACCTATTAGACCATATGTACAGAATGAAAATGTTATTTCATGTATGCCAGCAAAGTTCAATACATACCTATAAGGGTATCTAATAATCTAATTAGTAGAACACTCAGAAAGAATTACAAATTTGCTTCTTATCATTTCCTATAGACCAATTCACCTGACTATTCTTAAATTTCTTTGTTTATCTCTTTTTTAACACTATAAATATTATCAATTATGTCTTACCTATTTTAGGAAATAAGCATGCTCAACAATAATATGCATACTCCCTTGCAGGAAGGTACAATGTTGTATTTCAGCTTTGTATGCCTAGTGTCTAGCACAAAGTAGGCACTTAATATACATTTGTTCAATTGAATTTAACATTATTTATTCACATATTTATGTAAATTAGATTAAGACATAATAAACAAGTTCTATATAAATTAATATGTGCATATGTGCATGTTAAGGCCCATTTACAAAAATAAACCTATTTGTAAATGAGCTTCTCACTTGTGAATAGGCAGATAGGACTTGTCAAAGTGCAGCCAAAAGTTTAGTTTATAGCATAAAGTAAAAATACAACACACTACTAAAAGCATAAGATTTGAATCTAAGCTTTGCCACTTACTTTCTGTGTGATTTTGCACAAATCACTTAAGATCTCTGGATCTCAGTTTACTCTGAATAATGAAAGAGTTGGACCATTTGAACTCTGAGGTTCATTGTAACTCTAAATCTGTGACTTTAAATACACCTTCAAAGGGCCCAAAATTTAGTCACTTTAACTTTAAAATCACCCTTTTAAAAAAGTAGTATAAAAAGGCTCAAGCTTAACCAGTAATTTTTGTTTGTTTTTAACTCAGTAAGTATTTCTTAAATTGCTACATTGTTTTAAAATCTTAAATCAAGCCACTTTCTCATGAGGAGAGTCCATATACTAATTTTTTTAAAGTCAGGCATATTTGCAAACAGGTCAGTTTCTCTAAGGTCATATAAATGTGGTATGTTGAATAGTGTTCCTATGTTAACATATTTCATTGGCACCATAGTTGTTGTTGAAAGCAGAAAGGGAATTTCAGGGACCATTCTCTCAGATCTGCCATTTTATAGGTCAAGTTATTTCTATAACTGTAATATGTGAAATTCTTATTGTCACTGCTATTCCCCAGTACTTTATGAGCAAATTTAAAAAAAAAAAGGTGATCATAGAACTATCCCATGATACTGATAACCAGATGAGTACTTTAAATCAAATAAATTCATCACTAATTTATTATTATTCAATATCTTATTCAGATGTTTCAATAACTTTGAATGACTGAGGCTGAATTTTTAATTACTAACTACCTGTATCTCAGTATAGCTTCCCAAATCAGATATAAAACAATAGACTGAATATTGCAACAAAAAGGCAGAGACTAAATTACTCAGCATAAGTTCAGAGAAAATTCATTAGGGTCCTCAGTATCCAATATACAGCAGAATGCCATTAGGTAAATTGCCTCTTATTAGACCTTAAAATGATGTCAATAAGAGATGAGCATTTTACATAGACATTTAAACAAAATGTGTTATTCTTTTTCCATCATGTTATTTGCATATGAAGAGCTTTTCCAGCTGTTAAGGATATGCCAGAGTAAGAATGTGGCTAGATGTGGTAGTCCACTAACAGATAGATAGTCATATGTTGTTGCTTTGTCCCCTTAATATAAATAATTACATCTCTGAGACAAATATTGACATCAAAGTTTTCAAAATACTCATTACAGAATCTCAGAATTGGAAGGCACCTCCCACCTGAACCTGAATGAGAATCTCCACACTACACCATATCCAAGTGGTCATCCAGCATTGGCTTGAAGACCTCTTCCTAAGGCAACCCATTCAACTTGTAACAACTCTATGTGTTAAGATTTTTTTTACCCCTTAAGTCCTTCCCCTAAATCTACTTCTCTTCCTTTTCCACCCGCTGCTCCTAATTTTGCCCTAGACCTCACTCAACAAACTAAGCATCTATCATTGTTTCAAACAATCCTTATATGGCATGTTCCTGAGCTCCTTCAAACACAATGGTCATACTCCTTTGGATGTTCTTGTTTATCAATGTCCTACTTAAAATGTGTAACCCAGAACTGGGCAAAAAAATCCACATATGGTCTAAAAGTATCTTGTCTATCACTAGAATACTGATGCTGTTGTTTTATACATGCAAAATATTGCTTTCAAAATCTCCTTTAAGCATAAAACCAACTGTATGACTCTGTAATTTGTGTTATAATGAGAGAACTATGATGTTTTCTTGCTCCTTTACCAAGTTGTTAGCTTATCAGGAGGATTCCATTTAATCTGGCTCACCAAAAGACCAATGCTACAAATTACAAACTGAATAAAATTTTACATTTAAAAAATCCATAAATAAAAAACAGAACCACAAACAAGCTACTTAAACTTACCAGTGCTGTCATCATATACAACTGTGACTGTTTTCCACTTGAAAAATTGCACCAGGTCCAAAATGGCACGGCTGAGTGAGGAGAAGTCAGGGTATAGACTGACATAGAAGGAATCCTTGTTGTCTGACACTTGGTGCTTCCAGCGAGTCTGTATGTGGGGAACTCCCAGGGCATTGCAGATGGATTGCACTGCATTGGCTGATGAACTGTGAGAAGGCCCAAAGATGGCTGCTACCCCGAGAGACAGCTGATCACAGGCTGAAGAGGAGATAGAAGTCTGTCAATGATGAGAGGAGAGAAGCCAATGTGCCAGCAGATAAAGCATTAATCTCATGAGCCAAAAGGCAAAATCTTGCATTATTCTGATCATGACAATTTTTAAATATCACTTGTATTGAACTCATTTCACTTCTAGTTTTTCCATCGTTAACATTTGTCTTGTACCTGGAGATTTAAAACATCCAGACACCTGCAGCTAAATCCTCTACAAGTCACTTTGAAAGAAGGGAGGAAGAAAGAGAGTGAGCTCAACAACATCCAAATTCAGCAATACACAGGGAGAGTTTTACATTTTCATCAAATATTTATAATTTTCTAGTCCATATATATGCACAGTATATATGCAAATGTATATATAATATGTATTATGCTGTATATATGTCTATGTAGACATAGATGTGTATATATTATGCATATATATTATGTATGTTTTTTTTTCTGGGAATAGCCCTGAATTTGAAATAATATATTTACCTGAGACAATAAATTCAAAAGGGAGCAGTCAAAAAGTCGCTAACTTCACACTCTTCCACAGATACAAGTTAGCATCAATAGATACATAGTCTCAGCCATAGGGCATAGGGCAAAGGTTGAATATTAGCAACTATCCAGTAATTTTAAGAGTATGTGGATTGTCAATCCAGATATTCAGTTAACAAATGCTTATTTATTGATTATATAAATGAAAACCTTCAACAGACTGAAAAACAGCCTTTTTCTTAGTCAAGTTAAAAATAAATGGACTTCGCCAGATTTTTTACAAGATGGAAACCAAGAAAGACTTAAAATATTATAGACCAGCATGTTAACAAAAATGTCCCCAAGAAATTAGTGTAAGAATATTTCAATTAAGAAGCTGAATTTTTAGGTATTAAAAAATTCACTTAATGAAGTGATTCATATTTCCTGTTAGAAATCATATATAGAGTGAAAAGATAAAATTAAAAACTTTGGAGCTACTTATTTACTTGTCTTTAAAATATAATTGTTTGTATTCATGAATAAAGATATTTAGTGTAGCATTTGGATTATTTTACAAACTCTTCATATTCATCCATAAGTATTTATGGAGTACCCACAGAGTTCAAACACAATGCTACACTTGGCTCTTCTATTATCCTTGTCTATATCAATCCCCAATACCCAAACACTTTTAATTAGCAGAAACTCAGTATAGATGAGGTCCATGGGATGAGATTTACTTCATGGTATCTTCCCTCTTTAAGTCAGGATTGAGCTTTTATTTGTGATCAGACTAAATTCATGCAAAAACCAAGAAGGGGAATTTATTGCTAGTAAATTTTGAATTTTTGAAAAAGGTTTTGAGTGATGTCTAATATTTTGAAAATCAGATGTTTTCATCACTTGATGCTCTAGTTTCCTTAAGTATTTCCAGGATAGCATCATTTCCTCTTTGATAATATTCTAGCCTGCTTTGAGGTTGATATTTAAAGGAGAAATATTTTAAAAGATCCATTAATATTTCATCTGTACTCATACTCAGTATTCTCCAGCATTAATTGTTCTAAGCATGCTTTTACATTTACATCTCCCTAATGGAAATAATCATGAACTATGTCACTAGTCAAATTCTGCAGCCTGCCTGCGTAACCTTGATATTGCAGCTACGGGGACAAATATAACCATTTCAATGTAACCTTTAGCCTCTGGTTACAGCCCTCCAAATCTTCCATCACACAAAAGTGGTTTTGAAATATGTAAAATCATTTCACGTTTATAAAGAGATGAACTCTAAGGGCAGACAAAATGTAGGCTTTGATAAATACTAGTTGGCTGCAAACAAAAGGACACATTTTCACCTTGAGAAACATGAACCCTTTACACAAGCTTCCATTAATGCTAATAAGCATAGTTTGAAGAAACTGTCTGGACCAACACAAGAATATATAAATAGCAATGCATACTTTCATTTAAGAGATTCTATTCCATCACAAGTTTATGAAGTATCTTAAAAGTAGCCACTTCAAAAAGCCAAAATCCATATAAAAATTCTTTTGAACTAAGCAATATTACAATAGTCTATTTCCTCCAGAAGTGTTTATTACCTTAATATTTGTCAGTAGAAGGTAAAGTCTACCTAGTTACTTAATGAAATAGCAATATTGAAGCTCAGGTTTATTACTCAGTATTTTTACAATATAGTAGATAGAATGCTGGGCCTATGGTCAAGAAGAAATGGGTTCAAATTTCCCAGCTGATACTTAGCTGTGTGACCATAAATAAGACACAACCTCTCTTAGCCAATATTATCATGTCTAAATTGAGGATAGTAAGATCTTTAATAGCCATCTACCCCACATACCTCATATTGACCTATATGATTAGTCATGAGATTAGAATGACATAATGTACGTAAAACACTTTGCAAACTTCAAAGACCTATAAAAATGTGATTCTAATAATTAAATAAGCTAAAAATGTGAACTCTTTTCTATTCTTTTATATTTAGAAGTACAGATTAAATAGAATTAGGGATTTGGAAAGGGACTAGACCTGTGATTTCACTGGTACAAGGAATTCCCAGGTGAGGAAACTCCCTCTGTCAAAACAAGTTAATACCTTCTATGCATCTGAGGGTCTTGGATAGTTACCTAGAGTACTGAGAATGACTTGCCCAGGGCCAAATAGTTAATATATACTAGGGGTGGGACTTGAACCTAGGTCCCCTTAGGTCCAAGGCCATTTCTCACTCCATCCCATTCCTGATGTGTTTTTTTTTTCTCTTTTCACAAAATAAAGCCTTAAAACATGAAATTCAAATACAATGATACTATTTACTTCAATACTTCAGGAATCTATTATTTTATTAATGTGAGTATTCCCTCCACCAACACAGATTACAGCCTTTCTTTATCTGTATAAACGTTCTCTGGTGGTTGCTATGGCTCCCAAAAAATCACCCTGCAGCCAACCTCAAGATAAAGCTCACTGAATCTAAGTAGCTAGTCCTCCTTGGACATTAGACATGATCAGTTACCCGCTCTAAATTCAAAACCTGCCCAGCAAAATAGAACTTGTCATAACTTACACTCTTCTGACAGCATTTAGGGACCCAAAATTACTACTATATCCCAATATGGCTTTAGAGATGGAAATTAGTAGAGCATTATAATAATAGCTCACATTTTATAGAGTACTTTATGTTTGACAAAGAACTTTTTCATAACAAACTTGTGAATAATGCAGACACATAAAATGTTCCATACAGATGCATAAACTGTTTCTTACTCCTTGCATATTCTTAACTTTCACTGCACCATATTAATTCACCATAGTGTCCACTTCTATTAATATAAAGAAAAACCAAATAAGTTTTATTTGGACATGAAAGATACATACTTAAGGTTTGGCTTTTTGTTTGTTTGTTTTAAAGATTCCTCTTAAAGTTTCAAGGATATCATGGAATTTTTAGCTTTCTCAACTTTACAAAATCACTTGGAACAAGAGATTCTTGGTGGGAAAACAGCTAAATTAAGATCATAGTAGCAATATAATTGGTTTTGGAAAAAACAACCCGTAAAGAACAGAGTTGAGGATATAATAGCTCACATTTACAAAGTGCTTGACAGTTTGAAAAGAATTCACAAGCTCTTGAAAAGATAGTTTTGGTATTTCAGAGGCTTTGGGAAAAAAGGAGATAAACGAAGACAGAAACATTTCAATACATGTATTATTAGTCAAATGGAAAGTATAAATTTAATTACAATGCAGTTAACTTGTATATTTCAATCAACTCTTTTGAGGAAGAACTTTTTGTGATCAGGTTTAGTCCCACGTTAGTTTTTGATTTGTTGCTGTTGTTATTTTAATAAATTATACAGTCATAGAAATATTCCTTTAGTCCTTAAATTAAGTTGGTTTCAAAAGTTTATCAATCTACATCACTTAGGCCAGTGATTGAATTAGAATGTTGCTGCTCTGTGTCGTGCAAAGAGATCTTTAATAAAGATCAAAATAGTCTATATTCTTAAGGAGTTACCCACAGAGCAGAGTTAAGAAAACTGTTAGGCACAGTTATAGACTTTAGTTCTAGGAAAAACACAAAAGTCAAAAACAAAGTATGCCAAGTTACCTTTCTTGGATGCTTCAAAACTATCATAGAGATTTATCTTTTGAGTGTCATAGGTGAGGGTGGTATTGGGTAGTAAGGTTCTATTTCTGTTGATTGTGTTCACAGCAAATCTGAAGGCTAATTCCTCAGCTCCCATTGGGCCAGATTCCACATATTCAAAAATACCACCTGTTAACAAAAAAAGAATGAGTAATCAACTTTTACAATAAGGCAAGGGAAATACATAGATATTTTAGTTTCTATTAAATATCTTTAAGTTATGCTACTAAATGTTAGCATATTCCCCTAAAAATTGACATTTGATTTATAATTATGGTCTAAATGATAAGTATATACTGCCAAAATTACCAAAATACTATAGAATATTAAAAGTATTATTTTTGTCAGCCTTAATAATTACTATTATGATGATTATGACACATATATAACACTTTAAAGTATTTTTAAACTATTTTACCCATGACCTAAGTAAATGTGTGTATATAGATTTTGCTGAGTAACTAAAATCTGACATAGAAATGATTGATATAAAATTCATACCAATGACAAAACAGGGAAGATAACTATTCCCCACTTGTATAAAACTATAATGAAATTTACAGTAAAGTATCTCCAATAATTTAAAATTGACAGTAATTTGGCATAGTGCACAATTCTTAGGAAATTAAAAGTTTGAAAATTAATTTTTAAGTAAATTTCAGTGTTCTGTTTAAAAAATGAAAATAATAATATTAACTTCAAAGCAAAAAAATAAAAAAAAATTAAAGTGTCAATCAGTCTTCAATGTTTGAAGATTTTAACAATGTAATTTTTTAATGCTAAAAGTCTACTGTGTGTGTCACACATTACTGTGTAAAGTAGATCCAAGAATTATTTCATTAACTGACTTTACATTCCTGGATAGTACTCATTTATATATTGGTCATATAGTTTATTGCAAAGGTCCATTCCTTAAAATCTGTCCCATGACACATACTTTCCACTAAGTCAGAATGACTGTCACCACATTATTTAATTCAATTAAATAACTATTAAGTTCTGAGTATACGCAAGACATTGTCCTAGGGCTCTGGGGCCATGTGTTCTCTTGAAGAAGCTTACATTTTGGGGTAGAGAGGAGAGAGGATACAGATAAATGGATACAAAATAAATATAGTCATCTCATTAGCTCCCATGAATTCAATTACAATCTCTATGCTGGTGGTTCTCAGCTTTATCCAGCCCTAACCTCTCTCCTGACCTCCAGTCTAGCATCTCCAATTATTTACTGAACATCCCAATCTGGTGTCGCATGGACATTTTAAAATCAAGATGTTCAAAACAGATCTTATTATCTTTCCCCTAAAGCTTTCCCCTCTCCCTAAATTCCCTATTACTATCCAGAGTCTAATCACCCTCAACCTTGGCATCATCCTCAATGCCTCACTTTCTCTTATTCCCACCACTGTAATCCAATCAGTTTCTAAGTCCTGTCATTTCTGTCTTCATAACATCGCTGTCAAACATCCCATTCCCTCTGACCCTGCCATCTACCTGATACAGGACCTCATCTCCCTACACTTGGACTATTTCAATGGCCTATAGTTAGTCTCCTTGTTTCAATTCTTTCTTCACTGCAATCCATCCTCCACTTGGCTGCTTAATTTAAGCATAGATTTGACACTACTCCCGATCCCATTTCATGATTCCTGTGGCTCTCTATTACCTCCAGGATCAAATATAAAATCCTGTTTGGCTTTTAAAGTCCTTCATAACCTGGAACCTTCCAGTCTTCTTACACCTTATTCCCCAACCCATACTCTGTAATCCAGTGACACTGGCCTCCTTGTTGTTCCTCCCAAAAGACACTACATCTCTCCCCAACTCAATGGATGTTTCCTACGCCTGGAATTCTCTCCTTCTTCATCTCTATTTCCTGGTTTCTCTTTCTTCCTCCAAACTAAAGCTAAAATCCCACCTTTTACAAGAAACCTTCCACAACTCCACTTAATGCTCCCCTAGAAGCAGTGCTTGACCACACCCTCCTTCCTTTGATCCTTCCTTCCTTGTTGTTCAGAACTATGAATGATCAGGTATCTCACTGTACCATTTGTGATCATCTCAGTCCTTTAAAGTAGGTTTCTGAGCAGTTATTTATTCCATTTTCATTTGTGTGTTTGGTGAGCTAACAATACATGATCTTTGTGCATGCTGCTAGCCATGACACTTTTCCAGCTGAATAGTCTTATTTCATTGTGTTAACTTCTACATTCATAATTTAAATATAGAAATCCAGATTAAAATGTCTATCTGGAGCCTGAATGTAAAAGGAGCACTTAGAAATTTCCTTTTCTGCACTTATAATCTAGAGCATATATGTCTTTCCTCTGTTGATTATCACATAAAACACACATACATAAGTATATATAGTTTATATGTAATCATTTACATACTATCTCCCCCATAAGATTGTGAGCTCCTTGAGAGCAGGGACTGTTTTTTGCCTTTCTTTGTATAGTTAGCACAGTGCTAGGTACATAGTATATGCTTAATAAAGGTTTATTGACTATTGATTGTACAAGCTCCCAATATTCCTCTCTTCTGAGCCTGAAAAAGTCTCCTAGGGAAGTTATACTCTGTTATACTCAGTAACAGTTGTACAGGTACCATTGGACAAATTCCAATTCCCCTACCTTTGCCACAAATACATACCCTTTGCCACAAATCACCTCCTAGCTTTGGCAAGTGCCCACCTCTAGTTCTAGAACCATGGAAATCAAATTGCCATTGCTCCTAGATTGGGTATGTCAATCTATTGCCTTATGGTCCCATTCACCACCCCTGAAACTTTTAGAATTAAAGAGTCCCTACCTGGTCACCATTCTGTGTTGCTTCCTCCAATAAGAATGTAAGCTCTTCTTGAGCAGAGATTGCTTTTACTATTTTTTTTTTACATCTTTATCTCCAATCCTGCACTATGCTTGTCACATAACACTTAACAGTTTTTTTTAATTAACAATTTCCTTCTCGTATATTCCATATTTCTTGTATTTTTAGCAATTTCCCAAAACATATCACTGATGATATTGCTTCTCAACTTTTTTGCAACCACTAAACTAAATTGATATTCTACTTCATATAAAATACAGAAGTCTCATTTTTCACAAATAGGGTCTTTCAAACAGTAGTAAGATTTATTTATGTAACATAGAGAACTCTTTATTCACAACTAACCAAAACAAAGGATTTTTGGTATACTGTTGCAAAACAAGTATATTGATCTTTCTTCTTAATATGGACTAAGCCAAAAGTATCATATTTGTTCATGGCAGCTGACATCTTTATCCATTCATATTTAGAAATATTTGGATCTTTAAAAGAAAGTGAAAATTGCTCCTACAATCATGTAAAATGATTAATAAGTCCTTTCTTCTATTTTATTTGCTAAGCAGGTATTTTTAATTGGGAAATACATCAAAACATAATTTTATAAATTTATCTATGGTTCTCACTTTTTCATAAATGCAACCACTTTATAGATAAGAGAACAAATGTGATGCTGCACTGATTTAGAAAATTCAGTTTTTTCAAATATATTCACTAAATATGCATTTTGGAAGGAAGTTTTTATTAAGAAATATATTTGCTTCATCTTTATTATCACTAAGAAAAATAGCAATTTCTTCTTTTATCCTAAACACCTTTATATTTTAGCATGAGAAATTCAGTAGTTTTCACGATAGCATAGAAGTGCCTTGTGCTCTGTACCTATATCCCCATAATTTTTACAAACAGCATTCCTCTTTAATGAACTATGTGGTTTTTAAAATAAAGTTGATTATTCTCCTAACAATTTGAGAAAACATCTATAGCTTCTCACTCATATTTCTTGTTACAAGTAATTATCTAGTGAAGCATACAACATATACCAATTGCATAAGGGGTCATATTTTAACTGGTAATTTGTAGAACTGTATTCAGTTCTGAACATCAATTGAGCGCCATCCCTTTTTACAGTTTTCATTATAAAATTAATTATATTGAAAGTTTCTCTTGATATAGCATCACCATCAATAGATTTGCAATGTAAGAAATCTTTTCTAAAAATTTTCCATATCACAGCATGCATATGTAATCAAATGAGAATCTTTAAGTCTGTTGCATCTACTTGCAATACAAAATAGAAAGATTTTGCTTTTTCAGGTATTACATAGAGTCCTCTGACATATGGTCAATTGTGATTCCTGTTGCATTATCTGCAAATGCAACCAGTAAAAGCTGCTTTACACATGCTTCACCATGCCTCCATTCAACTCTAGCAATAGCTGCAGATTATTAACTTTCTTCCTATCTGATGAGGATTTTTAAATGTGTCGATTTTATATGTAAACTTGCACTATGCAAGTTAAACTTCCAATGCCACAATCATGGTTTGTGGGAAAATGTTCTTTTGCTTAATAAAAGCATCTAATTTCCACTTCAAAGTCTACCTTGCCAACATGTTCAAAATACTTTTGTTTCATGCTGTATTCAGCTAAAGTATTCATATATAGCAAATACAGTGCTATTTCCTCTATTAATAGTAGTACTTGTGAATCCTAATAATACAATGTATCATGTTTTCTGAATTAGGGATTTTTGTGTTTCTGCTATTTAAATTCTTTTGTTTTGCTTGTACTAGTTCCAGGTGCTCAAGAAGACTTTCCTTACAGATCCGTTCCTCATTTTAAGGGATATTATTTTCAACTTTTGTATTAGAAAATACACTTAAGACAATTTTCATTTAATTGCCTAACATTCCAAATGTGTACCTATAAACATTCTTGAGTAATTGAAATTTATTAAACATTTCCTTTTCTTTAATCAGCTTGCTATACCATACTTACCAACTTCCACAGAAAGACTTTTTTTTAAAACTTAAATTTACATACTTCACATTCATAAGCACTCAAGGAAACAATCTATTATGAGACTAAACTGACAGTGATGGTGGCCAATTTCATATATATATATATATATAAAATTTGTGCATACTGTATTTAGTAATTAAATAGTCGCCGCACTGCATTCACTGGCAGAATGAATTGGTCATTTGGTTCACTTTTGCTAAATTTTATTTCAACTTGGCTTTTGTTGAAAAAAAAATGTATTTATGTGGGAATTGAACTTAATATCTCGTGTTTGTCCAT